TTCCCAGCAGCTTGGAACGTGCAGGTAAGACCCACGCGCAGGCTCCCGGCTACTCCCACTTCCATAAGCGCAGGCTGCTCCGTCAGCTCCGTGTCCCTCGTGTTACCTGAAATGGGGGGGAGGCGGAGGGGAGACACACGCCACCCAGCTGGGGGGTGGGGGGCCCTTCTCTGCTCTGGGTCTCCCGGAGCCCAGAGGTGCTGCGTCCATTTACGAAGGTGACCGGGTGGCACAGGATGCCCGCCCTGGGGCGCCCTACGGTCAAACCTCCGTGGGATCAAGAAAGTGAGATTCTTGGGTGCACGGACGCCCCCATGCAGCTCTCCGATTCCAAGCACCCCAGCCCTGCCCCCACGCCCACTGCCAGGCCTCGAGGTCACCTGGCCTGACCCTGACACGGTCCCCTGGATGGGGCAGTGCAGCCGGGGTCCCAGGAGCTGTTGGCCGAGGCGGATGCGCCCTGACCGCTTCCTGGACTTGGAATCCTGCATTGGGTCAGCCCGCCTTTGTCCTAAAATCCCACGCAATCAGGGAGGATGGGGCCCCCCGTGGGTGGGAGGTCCCCTGGCTGGCAGCCAGGGACACGGGGAGGGACTGGTCCCCTGAGAGGCCCTGCAGCTGAGCTTCAGGAAGGACCCTCAGAGGAAAACCCTCCCTCCCGGCCCAGGGAGGGCGGCCGGAGCTGTCCAGGGTCCTGAGGGACCTCCCGCTGCAGGGGAGGGTGCAGGTGTGCCTGGGGGTGGGGCGCTGGCTGAGATGCTGACGGTCGGTGCCCTCCTTAGCCTGGACGTGGACAGGCAAACACCCAAAGCACCGAGGCGAAGCTTCCGACTGAAGTTGAACCAAAAGTTTCCCCAAGAACAGGGGATCTTTACAAAGACGCCGGGCGGGGACGCGGGAGGGAAACATTCTGTGGTCTGGGCGTGAAGGCTCAGGGGACCCGGAAGTCAGGGGCCGAGAAGGCCTGAGGGGTCCTGGGGCAGCCACTCCCAGGGCCACTGGAGCCAGCCCTCATGTCCCCCGATGTCTACACAGGGCAATGCCTGCTGTGCTCCTGTCTGTGTGTGAGTCACGTGCGCATGTGTCCCTGTCCGTCCACACGTGCACCTGTCCGTGCACAGTACAACCCCCCCCCCCCCCCCCCCTGCCACCAGATTTCTCTGGGGGACACCAGGCTGAGCCTCCCCAGGGGACCCGGCCGCCGTCTGGGGCCTCTGAGGGTCAGAGGGGCAGCAAAGCCCCCCAGTGCGGGGTGGAGGCCGCACCTGCCGGCAGAGCTGGGGGGCAGGCAGGGCTCCAGGCAAAACCTGGGGGCTGCTCCGAGCCTCTCTGCTGTGACCCACCTCTCACCTCCCTCTTTCTTTTGTTTCCTCTTTTGTTCTGAGAGGAAGGCAGGCAGAGAGGGAGGGAGGGAGGGAGGGGCAGCTGGAGCTGGGGGCGAAGGTGTCAGCGCCCACCCGCCTCCCGGACTTGCCGCTCCACAGGGCGGCCTGTCGGCTCAGAGCGTGGCACAGTGGCCCCATCCAAAGGGCATTTTAATGTCACTGCCAGCAGCCCGGCTCCCGGTGCCAGAGCAGCCCTGCCAGCAGCGCTCCCGCCCGCCGCCGCCGCCTCCTCCCAGACCTCAGCTCCGAGAGCAGCTTTAAAATGGAGAACCCCAGCCGGCGAAGGCTCTCTGTGGGCGCACTGTTCGGGACGGCGAGCCCCCTTGGCATGCCCCGCGGTCCCACACGCACACGGCCGCTTGCCACTCACACTTCCTGCAGAGCATGTGGCCGCCCCCCCGGGCCCTCCAC